GAGCAGCCCTGGCTGGGTGGGTGTTAAGCAGGGCAGGAGGAGGTGTGACAGGGGCGCCCCGGGATAGCCTCAGAGAAAGGGGCGGTGACTGCCTCCAGGTGTGCCCATCACTTGGGTAACGCAGGTGCTGCGTGTAGACTTCCTGCGTGGAAAACAAAATGGGGACGGAGGGCTAGTGTACACTGGCATGGAGACAAGCTGAGCTCTTTGCAGGCAGACATAACGTCCCCTTCTTTTGATAACTATAGAGGGAAGTTGATTCTCTCTGGCTACTTCCTACTGACAAGGGGCGTAGACATTAGGGGTAAAAGGTGGAGATGTATTGCTGCTTGTGCCTTCTCCGGGACTGGACAACAACCCTGCCACTACCCCTAATGCCCGTGCCCCTTGCCAGCAGCAAGTAGCCAAAGAGAATCCTGGCCCGTTTATAACTGCCAAAAGCCTGGAGTGTCACAAAGCCCCTCCCCCTTGCTCTTCACCTGCCTGCAATCACGTGACTGTGAGTCAGCGAAGGACCCCAGGTTCTGAGGTCACTTCCTCGTCTGCTGAGGAATAGCACTGGTCACGTCTCCCTTGAACGGTGAGGGGTTCCCCAGGCTCCGAGATTACTTCCGTATCTGCTGGGCCCCGCCTCCCGTCTTTCCCGATATAGTCGGGCTCACGTCCCCTCCTCTTTTTCAGTGGCCTCCAACTCCTCTGGTCTGAAGTTTACCCTCCCCATAATAAACTCTCTTCCGCCTGAACCATGCGGCGGTTTCCTTTCCAGCAAACCTTACAGTATATAGAAAAAAAAAATGCTTATTGACTATCAAATTAGGCTAGAAGGTAAATGCTTGCTAATTTCCCTAGATTTATCAGTTCTCAGAGTAATAACCTGTCAGCTCTTCATTGACACTATTATTCAAGGGAATAGGTGGCGAGAAGGACACTATGGATTTCTAAAGCATATTTGAAGTGCTTCAATCCATTGTGGTCAAATTTTTCTAGTGGTCAAATTTTGTAATTCAATATAAACTTTTTAAAAATAATCTTTCAAGTCATTTTAACAGCATTTATCAAACGTGGAAAAAGGTGATTCACACTCATAATCCTAGCTACTCCAGAGGCAGCCCAGGTAGGAAAATCTGTGTCTTTCTCCAATCAATGCCAGCAGTGGAGCTCTGGCTCAAGTTGTAGAGTGCTAGCCTTGAGCAAAAAAAGGTCAGGGACTGTGTCAGGTCCTGAATTCAGGGCCCAGGACTGGGAAAAAAGCTAGGGGAGTGGGGGCAGGTGGGGTGCGGGGTGAGAACATGGTAACTCTAAGCTTGATTTTTGTAATATATGTAGAAATGTCATAAAAATGAACACCCTGCCAGGCTCACAAGTGTAATTGTAGGTCCTCAGGTGGTCTTGTAGGTCCTCAGGAGGTCGTCTGAGCAAGCCACTAGCATCTAGCTGCACATTGTTTTGAAGTATACATGGACATACCCAGTAAGTTCTCTGATCATAACAGGGTTAAAGTAGGAATAACAAAAATGGGGAAAATATCTCCAAACATTTGTAAATTTAAAGACACACATTCATCCGAGTGCTGTGGTTTAAGCCTGTAATCCTAACTACTCAGGAAACTGAAATCTTAGTATCAGGGTTCAAAGCAGCCCAAGCAGAAAAGTCCCCATAAGACTCTTATCTCCAATTAACCACTCCAAAACTAGAAGTAGCACAACTGTGGCTCAAGTGGTAGAGCACTTGCCTTGAGCACAAAGAAGCTCAGGGACAAAGCCCAGGCCATGAGTTCAAGTCCTACAACCAACAACAACAACAAAAAGATGATATTGATCTAGATGTATTGTTCTTATAAAATGATATGTTGAATGGTAACTTTTGTACAACTATTTAAATTTTTTTTTAAAAGTTTTGAAAAGGCTGTTTTAAAACAAAACCATGGTCTGGGAAGGTGGCTCAGTGGTAGAGTGCTTGCCTCACATGCATGAGGCCCTAGGTTCTATTCCTCAGCACCACATACACAGAAAAAGGCAGAAGTGGGCGCTATGGCTCAAGTGGTGGAACCCTAGCCTTGAGCTGAAGAGCTCCACAACCAGGGGGGGAAAAAAGGATGCAAGAAATTAAAGGCACTCCCCACAGCCTAATGTATGTCCTATATAGCTCTTCATGGTTTGTTAACCTGTGAAATAAATGATCTGTGAAGCACTAAATAATGTTAGTTTCTTGTTGATTTGTAATTTTTAGTGATCAGAATTTACTTCACCTACAGTTAAATTTTTTATATTTATGTTAAATATGTTTAATCTTTTAAATAACAGGGATAAAATTTAAAGGTCTTCTAGAAGTAAAAAAAAAAAAAAAACTCCTAGCTACTCAGGAAGCTGAGATTGGAGGATTGCACGCAGTTCAAAGTCAGCCCAGGCAGGAATGGGAACCTCCCTAAGACTCTTATCTCCAATTAAGGACCAGAAAAGCTGGAAGTAGAGCTGTGGCTCAGTGGTAGAGCATTTAACCTTGAGTAAAAAAGCTCCGGGACAGTACCAAGGCCCTGAGTTCAAACCTCAGGACCACCACAAAAAGAAAAAGAATAAACACACACACACACACACACACACACAGAATAACAAAAAATTTTAATATATGATTTAAAATTAAAAATAATAAACATTTAAGTTATAAACATTTAAAAACAAACATGATTATATAATAGATGAAATGTGAGGGGAAATAAAGTTTTATAATACGAAGTTTTTTCTGATTTTGCCCAGCTTTCCAATTTATTTTTAAAATCCATAGTAATAAGTATAGTAGCACTATGGGTGTTTAGATTTTATTGATATTCTTTTTCAAACTGGGTGCTGGTAGGTCATGCCTTAATCCTAGCTACTTGGGAAGTTGAGATCTGAGCATTACATTCAAAGCCAGCCCAGGCAGAAAAATCTATGAGATTCTTATCTCCAGTTAAACATAAAAAAAGCCAGAAGTAGAGCTGTGGCTCAAGTGGTAGAGCACAAGTCTGAGCAAAAAAGTTCAGGGGCAGCACTCAAGCCCTGCATTCAAGCCCTAGAACTAGCACAAAAAACTACAAAAAACTTATTTAATACAAAACATACAGCTCATTAATTTTATTTTTTTAATTTTTTGTTGTAAAGATACTATACAGAGGGTTACAGTTACATGAGCAAGGTAATGAGTACACTTCCTATTGAAGCTCATTAATTTTTAATACCCAGCTCAGAGAATCATTTTTCCATAATTATTTCTCTTAAAAACATATATAATTTGGAAGACGGTATCCATAAAAGAAACTTACTCATTACCTGACTTTTGAAATGTAATCCCTCTGTACAACACCTTAATAACAATAACAGTGTATTTTTAAAAACTGCATATATAAAATATTTGTATGCTAAAGTTGAATTTTAGTCCTCTTCAATACTATGAACAATTTACAGAGAAAATGAAGTTAGGAATAAAACCTTTGTCCCTCTAACTCTGAATGAGAAGAAGCAGGGTGACAACATGGAAACTATACTCTGAAGAAACAGAACATGGAGTATTAGAAAACATGACAGGAAAGCTAAACTGCACAGAGAAACAAAGATGGGAGAGGAAGGCAGAGAAAAGAGTCCATAGCTCTAATCCTGCCTCCCAAGAGCTGAGGGAGTTGAAGAAACAAAGCCCGCTAACCCTCAGCAAACTGGAAATTTTAGCTTTGGTATAAGCCCACACCTCCTGCAAGCCTAACCATAAAAGAAAATATAGGCCATTTGCCTTGATGCACATAGACGCAAAATTCTCGATAAAATTCTTGCAAACAAAATTCAACAGTACATTAGAGGATCAAACGGATATCAATCCAAGGATTCAAGAGTTACTCAGCATATGCAAATCAGTAAACATAATACAGAAAATAGAATGAAGGACAAGAGTCACATGATCATCTCAATATACACAGTAAAGCCTTTGACAACAAACATCTATCATGATAAAAGTTTTGAAGAAACTTAGTAATACAAGGAATATACCTCAATATAACAAAAGCTATTTGCAGCAAACCTATAGCTAATATCGTATTAAATAGGAGAAAACTAAAAGCATTTCCTTTAAAGATAGGAATGAATAGGAAAAAACTAAAAGCATTTCCTTTAAAGTTAGGAATAAGACATAAGTGTCTCTCTCCACTCTTATTCACTATACATAGTTTGAATTCTTAGCCAGAGCACTAACGCAAGAAAAATAGTCAAGCTTATCTATTTGTAGAAGATAGGATACTAACATACAGTTCTCAAGAAGTACAGCTAATAAATGCATCTTTAACCATAATGGAAACTCAAAGCAACATGGATGGAATTCCATCTCATCCTAGTCAGAATGGCTATTTTTGTTTTTAAATGCTGTTGAGGACACAGGGAAGGGAACTCTTACGCACTCTTGGAGGGAGTGTAATTTAGTATAGCTAATGTAAATCAGTATGGAGGTTCCTCTAAAACAAAAAATAGAATTATCATATGATTCCAGTCTGCCACCCTTGGGCATATACCTGAAGGATTACAAGTCAGCATATAGTAGAATATCTGTACACCTATGTTAATAACACCTCTAGTCTCAATAGTGTAACTATGGAATCAGCATAAGTGTCCAAGTGATAAATAAAGCATGAATGAATAAATGTATATACATAGATGATTCCACAGGAACACAAAAGAAGAGGTTGAATATGATCAAAATTTATTATATCTGTAAAAAAAAATCACTAGCAAAGGATGTAACTCAATGATATCCTGCTTGCCTAGCCTGCATATGCAATCTTAAGCACTGCAAAATTAATTTTATAAATTCAAATATAAGATAGTTGAAAATTTCAGGAGACATTTTAGATAGTTCTGTTAGAAAATTGGAAATTTAAAAATATTTAATACTTCGCTTATACATTTAATGTTACATCTATAACTTATATCTAACTTTAAACTTCTCTTAATCCTTTTTCATATTAAAATATTCCTACCCTACAGACAAGTAATTGACAGAAGAAATGAACAAGAAAAAGACATCTGTGCTGAATCTTTGAAGACCTGTAATACAGAAGGTAATGGAATTCAAGGTACCCAGAATATTCAAAGTATAACATTAAAAATTGTATAAGAACCGTTGGTAAATAAATAAAAATAAGAGCATTTCCAGTCAGTATAGGACTACTTTTGTTTGATGTAATATAAAATTCAAACTCATGATTATAAATGAGTCTAGATTTTAACTTTTTTTTTTTTTGGCCATGGGACTTGAACTGGGGGTCTGGGCACTGTCCCTCAGCTTGTCAGCTTAAGGCTAGTGCTCTACCACTTGAGCCATAGTGCCACTTCTGGCTTTTTCTGCATATGTGGTGCTGAGGATTTGAGCCCAAGGCCTCATGCATGCTAGGCAAGCACTCTACCACTGAGCCACCTTCCCAGCCCTGAGGCTAGATTTTAATGAGCATATAAAGGAATATGCATTTGGAGAGTTTGTTAACTTATTGATTCTGATTCAGTAGGAACAGAGTGGTACCTATGATTTTGTGTTTCTAAACAACTCTCAGCCTGTAAATAAATAGGCTTTGGGAATCACTGAGAAAAATGGCAATTTTTTGCCCAACTTAGCAGTAAAGAAAGTAATGTACATAGAAAATACTATAACAAGGAAACCATGTAATACACTCCTCAAAATTGGTACCAACAAAAAGAACAGCATGACAAGCTAATGATAATCACTTCAAGCCAAGATCTAGCTGGCCTAATAAAGATCAGTACATTCTCAACATTCAGAATAAAATAGAGGAGCACTTTAGGAGATAAAAAAGACAATTATGTTGATGACTGTCTGTGAAAGGAGAAAAGTATTTCGTGCTTTGGCATTTTCATTAAGTCTTCTCTCTTTCCCCTAAAGATGAGTCCAGCTTGATCTACTCATTCTCTCCCCTTTTCCTTTTCCTAAAGCCAACTCTTAGTCCATTTTTCTTTTGCATTAATAAAATGTGTAAAACTAGGTAACTTGTAAAGGAAAGAAGTTGATTTCTGGAAGATAGACGTCCCAAACCTGGCAGCTTCATCTGGGAAATGCCTCCTGCTCTAACAGCCTCATTCTGTAACAGCCTGCTCTCATAGGAACCATCCAGTCCCATGAAGATTGTATGAATCCTTGGCTTATATCCTACCACTTCTCAACACTGTTATGCGGGGAGCAGAATCTCAGTGTGAGTGTCAGAAGGTTCAGACCATAGCAACTGTTATAAAGACTGAAATTCAGAGTTTGGAAGAGAACAGAGTTGGGTATGATTATGCACACTTGGGACCTCAAAATTTAGGAATATTGTTGAGGTCCAGAGTAGGTTGGGCTCCCTAAAGAGACCTCTCCCAAAATACAAAACAAACAGAAAATGGGGAAAGGGAAGCTGGAATGAGTGGGAGAGAAGGATTAAGAAGGGGAAGGAGGTGAGATGAATTGGAATTGGAGCATATAATTAAGAAGGCTCGTAAATCTCAAGATCTGCATTTGGCAAGCTAGAAAGTCAGGAAAGCCAATTGTGTAGTTAGCTGATACTGTAGTGAAGGCCGGCCACCGTCTGTAGCTGCTGGAGGAGCAATCCTTCAGATGAAAATACAAAGCAAGAGCACCCAATATCCCAGCTTGAAGGAAGGAGGAGCTCCTCTTTCAGAGGAGGGTCAGCTGGACATGAATTCTGTCTACCAGACTAGAATCTGCTAACACCTTGTTTCTCCCTCTCACCTTCAAAACCTTCAAAGAATAATAATTGGTGTTTTACTTTATTCTTCCAGATAGTACACAGATTTCCCTTTGGCCATCTCTAACAGAAAAGGGTATTGTGGGAAACATGATTCTGGCTTAGCCAAATTTATTGGCAGAGTACAAAATCATCATAAAGGTGATACTTTCTAACACAAAATGAGAATAGGCAGGAAATACAGAAATAAGGCATAATGAGGAAGCTATACAAACTATGTTAATAGTGCATACAGAAAAGCGAAAAGAAACACGACCAAGTTGGTTATGCTAAGAATTACACTGCAGGGCTGGGAAGGTGGCTCAGTGGTAGAGCGCTTGCCTTGCATGCCTGAGGCCCTGGGTTCGATTCCTCAGCACCACATAAGCAAAAAAAGAAAAAAGCCGGAAGTGGCGCTGTGGCTCAAGTGGTAGAGTGCTAGCCTTGAGCTGAAGAGCTGAGGGACAGCGCCCAGGCCCAGAGTTCAGGCCCCATGACCGGACCCAAAAAAAAAAAAAAGAATTACACTGCAAATCAAAGAATGAAAGGATAGATAGCAAGTTAGCCCAAAAGAGAGGAGAAAAACTACAATAAAAGACAAAAACATATTATTAATTCTCCCATCTGAGAGTCAGAAACCATATATGACTCAAACTAGATTTGGAGAAGTACCAGGGGTTTTTTGTTCCATTTTTAAAATTTCTAATCTAATATAGATCAGCACTTTTGTAAAATGCAGTAAAAATAAAAATGAAATGTCCAAAATTTTTATTATAATAAACATACATAAAAGTATCCTATGCAACTTCCATCAAAGTTCCTAATTGCTTTTCTTGGTATCTTTTCTAAAATCTCAAATCAGAGATTATCAAATGTAGAGAACAGACAATTTACAGCATATCAGTCATCAGTATTCATGCTGTATATTCATACCACTGACCTAATATTAATTAGCTCTTACTGAATTATGGCAGTAGGCTCAAGTAATAGGATAAGAAAAAGTAACCCAAGTCCAAAAGACCTAATGGATATGCAACATAGAGAAATACAGGGACTAATGATCACAAATAATTTAGCACATAAGTTACAGATATTTTAAAAATACTTTCGATTGTGTTCTGAACTCTAAAACAAGATAGTAAATACCTTTCTACATTTTTAGGAGCAAATCTTAAAAGAATGTTAATATTAAAGCAATGTCATAAAGGTATTAGGCATTTACAACGTGTAAGGACTTATATACCATGCTAAAGTTAGCTTTTCTCCATTTAAAGAATAATTATCTGTTTATGTAGAAATAAAAATGTTCAATGACAAGAAAGGAATGAGTCTCTGAATTTTAAATAGATGATGAAAATAAAAAATAATATTCAGTGACATATAGAAATTGTTTGAAATTCAATTTCAATACCCATGAATAAAGTTTTATTGGTGCCAGGCTCAATTCTTTACATATTACTTAACCATTTTCATACTACAGTGATAGACGCAAATAGGACTTTACACTGCCATGTGTCACTGCAACCTCGGGGACATTGTCATTAATCTATAGCTTTTCTAGTGCCATTATATTGCTTCAGTACAACATTTTATCTAATTTTTTAATGAGTGAATGTTCATCATAAAAAAAACAAAACAATCAACAAGAAAAGAAGCTTGAACTTTGAGTCCACACTTTTAGGGGACAATGAATTGGCTTATTTGGTTACTCAATTAGATGGCAAAGCATTGCATTAATTGTGCAATGACACATGACTGTGCTTAAAAGAAGTCAGTATGCATCAGTGTTAAAAGAATTAATTGTAATATCCCCAGCCATAGACAACAAATTTAGTTTAGTTTAGTTTTGTTTTGCTTTGCTGGTACAAAGGTTCGAACTCAGGGCCTCACACTTGCTCAGCTTGATCACTTGGCTGTAACTCTACCACTCTCCAACATAATGAGAAATTTTTATGTGAAGTACTTTATAATAAGCTGTTTTCATAAAAATTAAAAATGATCCTACACAAAAGTTATCTGAGTGGCTCCTTTGCAAGCCAAGCAAAGAACAAGCAGTGTAAAATGATGGTGAACGGCATCCATCACATTGGATGCAAGCTGCTGAAGAAATGTGTCCAGAGAAAATAAACATAAGACCAATGGACATTTAGTGGAAGTAATTGGTCAAAAGCTGAGGTCATTAAAAATGACATCAATAATTGATTAGAAGAACACAGCAAGAAAACAAGTAAACACACAGAAATCAAAGTAAATAATTTCAAGTGGTTTTTATCCCTGGCCAACAAATATGACCAACAAAAACAACTCAGTTTTTCATTTTACCTGATTCTTTTGTGTGTGTCAGTCATGGGGCTTGAACTCTAGGCCTAGGCACTGTCCCTGAGTTCTTTCGCTCAGCGAGCACTCTACCACTTGAGCCACAGCACCACTTCCGGTTTTTCATTTTGAAGAGTCAATGAGAACATTCAAGTAGCTGAAAAATTAAAGAACGGATTTTAAGAAAAAAATCTGTGTAGAATAACCCAAGCACAGATTTTTTTTAATGAGAAAATACCAATTAACTATAACCTACCATAGAATATGCTAAATTTTTCACAACTGACGATGGTAATATATATGAGAGGAGAAAAATCATTAGGCAAATTTACGAAGCTTATATGAAATCCCATGTGATTCAGTGCTTTGGCTATTGACTGAATTAAGCTACTCATCATCAGGTACCTTGCAGAAAACATTTTACTGTACCATGTGTGATTGAACTGACAGTGTCCACAGTGAACTTTATTAGCTCTGTTGGGTTAGCCATTGCCAGTTTTGTGAATTTCTGTCAGAAATAGAAGCTGGATATTTTGAACAGAAGTTCAAAACCTTAGTAGTGGAAAAAATTTCATTATAATTTTTTTTAGCTCAGTGCTGAGATTGAAATTTTCATGAACAAGAAGAAGCCATTATCAAACTAAATGGCTTTGGAAATTAGCTTTTGCTGCAAATTTGATGTTTTTAATGACTTCAACCTAAAATTACAAGAATAAATAGTGCTTATATATATGAAAATTTACTGAAGTAAAGCCATTTCAATGTTAATTGAGGTTATTTGAATCATAAGTGATGTCAAAGTGTACTGACAAGAGTTAAAACAACAAATCAAATATATATTTCACAAGAAATTTGAAGAAGATATATTTTCTACGGGAACAACAACAAAAAAAAAACCTTAGGGGCAGAATGATCACTTGAGTTCAAAAGTTTGAGGACATCCCAAGCAATACATCAAAAACCTGTCTTGGAGAACAAAGACACTTCCAAAAAAGGGTGAACAAATGCAGCAACGGTACTCACAAGACACTACATTGAAAATGAAATGCACAACTTGTGGGTAGAGATGGGAGGGAAAAACTGGGAGAGAGAGGGGGAAGGGGTGACATTGTCCAAAAAGAAATGTACTCATTATCTCACTTATGTAATTGTAACACCTATGTACACCTTTACAATAAGAATTTTTAAAAGTTAAGATTTTTTTAAATTAAAAAATAAAGAAACCATCCCAGTTTTAGCAGTTAAAACTCTCAAATCCTGGGAAGTCCCTGACTTGCTCAGTCCAGAAGACAAACTGATCTTAATTACAATGGTATTTTCTGCATGCTAGTACAAAAGAATTCACATATTTCAAAATCCATGAACTGTGTAATTGAGAAGCTTTCACCAAACCTTGAATTAGAAGTGATTAATCTGTTATATAATGATATGCTATAATGCAAATATCAAGAGAAGAATCAAACAGAACTTTATAAAATTGGATAGGACATTTCCCCCATATACATTAATTAAACTTCAATTAAAAAGTTAAAATAAAAGTTAAATAAGAGCCAGGCGCCAGTGGCTCATGCCTGTAATCCTAGTACTGAGGAGGCTGAGATCTAAGGATCACGATTCAAAGCCAGCCTTGTCAGAAAAGTCCGTGAGACTCTTATCTCCAATAAACCACTAGAAAACTGGAAGTGGCCCTGTGGCTCAAGTGGTAGAACATTCGCCTTGAGCTGAAGAGCTGAGGGCTAGCACTCAAGCCCAGAGTTCAAGCCCCAGGACCGGGAAAAAAAAAAGTTAAATAAGCCAGGTATCCATTTGGCTGATACCTATAATCCTAGCTAATCAGGAGACTGAGATCTGAGAACTGACTTTCAAAATTGGACTCCTACGTCCAATTTACCAGTGAAAAAGCCAGAAGACTAGGAGTGGCTCAAGTAGGAAAGCACTAGCTATGAGTAAAAAAAAAAAGCCACACAAGAGCTTGTGGCCAGTGTTCAAACCAGTACGGGCATAAAAAAATTAAGTTAACATAGACATATTTTTTTAATCAAAAATGCTCACTGCGGTACTAAACTGAGCAATTACACCTTTTCTTCAACAGCAGTCTTCTTAGAACTACATACCACTTTTGGTAACCAAGGGTCCAGTTGTTTGCTTGATAAAGCGTTTCCAAAGATGAAATATTTTATACTCTTCAGAGATCAACATTAACTGATGAACATTTGCAATTAATTTGATGAGAAATAATAATTAATTTTGATCCTCAATTGTCTTCAGAGATCAACATTAACTGATGAACATTTGCAATTAATTTGATGAGAAACAATAATTAATTTTGATCCTCAATTGCAGTTTAAATTAATTGCAATTAAATTACAAGTTGCATTTAATTGCAATTATAATTTTCAATGGACAAATTTCAAAATAATAGATGTATAATTATTATTAGTTTAAATTTCATCAAAACGATTTTGACAGTCTTTTTCTTGTTATTTAAAATAAGTACTTAGCACTGTATCTTCCACTTTACCTTTTGGCCACAAAGCCTAAAATATTTCCTATCTGGCCTCTTATCTAAATTAAGACACATATATGGAAGAAGTAAGTTGACAAGAAACTAAAGCATGCTGAAATAAGGATACAGGTTGAACCATTGTAACAGTGAGATGAACAAGATACTATGTTGAAAATGAACTAGCAAAATACAATTCATTGTTTTAAGAAATTTACCTGTGGGCTGGGAATGTGGCTTAGTGGCAGAATGCATGTCTAGCATGCATGAAGCCCTCGATTCGATTCCTCAGTACCCACAAAAACAGAAAAAGCTGTAAGTAGCACTGTTGCTCAAGTGGTAGAAGACTAGCCTTGAGCAAAAGAAGCTCAGGGACAGTTCCTTTGCCCTGAGTTAAAGCCCCAGGACTGGGAAGGAAGGAAGGAAGGAAGGAAGGGAGGGAGGGAGGGAGGAAGGAAGGAAGGAAGGAAGGAAGAAAGGAAAAAGAAAGAGAGGAGAGAGAAAGAAAAAGAGGAAAGGAAGAGGGAGAGAGAAAGAGAAAAGAAAGAAAAAGAGGGAGGGAGGGAGGAAAGGAAGGAAAGAAGAAAGAGAGGAAGGAAGGAAGGCAAGCTAGTTCACCTTCTATGTATTGATAGCAGATATTATCATCTAGATTTATGAAATGCATCATGCTCAAAATGTTATGGAAATTTTAAACTACATAAACAAAATATCCCAGCTCAGCAACAATTAAAAAGAGCAGGTAATGTAGTGTTAATGACAAATAACATGTAAATTTATAGAATATAGTCACCAAGGCATTACTTGTTGGTAGGACAAGGAAGGAAAATAAGATGTTGCCAGCTAACTTTGGTGAATTATAATCTACTTAGGAAGGCAGACTAAATAAATAAAATAAATGAATAATGTAAATTAGCATAAGGCTAGTGTCAAGTGAGTTATGCATTTGTTCACTAAGTAAAGAGAAAAGAAATATAACTGGAATTTGTGTATATATATATATATACATATATATATACATATATATATCCAATTCAGTGTTTCAGGGATGAAAATATGTAACTATGTGAATTACTACCTAATATCTGTTTATAATAAAAAAAAAAGTAGATTGTGGCAATAATGGCTGTCTTTTCTCTCAGCATGTAAGTTGAAGTGATGCCTCTTTAAAGCATCATTTTGATGTAGTAGGATCAGCAAGTATAGACTGCTGTTACAGAAGATAACTCACTAATCAATTATAACTTTCTTTTTCATTGAACCAAAAGAAAAAAAAGACAACTTGTCATCACAGCTTCCCAGCAATCACAACTACTCAACTGGAAGTGGTACTTGGGTGATACTTTCTTGTCATACTAGTAAGACATCACTAGTAAGAACAGAAAAAAAAAAAAACAATGTAAGAATATTCTGCTTATTTTATTTCCATACAGATATGAGCCACAACATGTACTTGAGAATAATTAGCACTTTCATGCTATTTTAAGTCTTCTTTATAATGTTCTCTAGCTTTCAGCATTTTCTGATTGTTTTATTTTTAGTGAAGAAATTGAAAAGTTTTGTTTAATGTTATTGAGATCCTTTATTAGCTTTTAAAATCATGAATTTTCTGACCTTTTCTTTTAGGAGAACTGAAGCACGACTTCAGAGGACAGGTAAAATACTTTCTCTTACTATTATTATTAGACAGCTAAATTCCAAGAGCCAGGCACCATTGGCTCACATCTGTAATCTTAGCTACTCAAGAGGTTGAGATCTGAGGACAGTGGTTCGAAGCCAGCCAGGGCAGAAAAGTCCCTATGAGACTTTTATCTCCACTCAAAATCAGAAGTGGCACTATCGCTCAAAGTGGTATAGCACTAGTCTTGAGCAAAAGAGCCCAGGGCCAGCACCCAAGCCCTGAGTTCAAGCCCTTTGACTGACAAAAATTAATTAGTTAATTCCAAGAATTCAAGAAATTATGCCTACTGGTCTATATTACAATACTTGAGGACTGTTCAGCTTCTTTTTATTCCCAAGATTTCATTATTATAATAGTTATTTTAGAATAAAGTTACCCATAATGTAATATAATTTATCTTGAATTTGAGTTAAAATGCTTCAGTAAGGGAAAAATAGGAGGAATATAGGTGAAGTAAGGGTCACCAGTTGTGTAGTTATTATGGGCTGTAATTCTAGCACTTAGGAGTCTGAGGCAGGAGGATTGCAAGGTCATGACCACAATAGACCAAGAGTTGAAATTTGATGGATCTTGATATTAAGTAATCTAGCAGTTCATGTACATCATTGTTTCATAGGTATATACTTGAAATTATTCAAAATGAAAAATCAGAGACAAGGTTTGTAAATATGAAATTATCCAGTGCCTTTTGATTACATAGGTTTTTATAAGAAATGTATATAAAGACATCACTTCTGACAAGTGGTCCTGAACCTTAGCCTTTCCATATTCTGTCTCTCTGACTTCATCTTCTGTCTCTGACATTCATTTTAAGATGAAGTATAAGTGTGGTATAAGTCATTGAAATACTCATAATTTTGTGAATAGCCAATAGTTACATGATTCATTTTGAGACTTGATTTGAATGATGGTTCTACAATTACTAACATTACAATTTGGACAAATAATTTCATCTCTTTACTACTCAACTTCTTTATCTGTAAAACAGAGATAATGCCAAATATCCATAGTGTTTTTGTGAGATTCTGTTATGAGCATAAATGTGGTAGGACTTTGGTAATTACATATAACTATACTAATGATAGTAATTATCAACATTACTTCAACCTACTTTTTATGGACAGGATTTTTTTTTAATCTTGATTTGCTCAGAGGAAAAAATATTCCATATTTCAGTTGAATATATATATGTAATAATTTGCATTTAGACTGCTAAATCTTAAAAAAACTTTACCATAAATTTTACATATTTTAAGTGTCTTAGTTTTTAGAACACTTGTTAAGGAAAATACAGCATCCTGTCAAAACTTTATAGATACATCCACTTACACAAGTATGCATGAAATACTGTTAAGAAACTGACTTCCCAACAGTCTTTCCAGAAGGACTTTCATACAGTTAAAATACCTCAGTAAGAGGAAAGTGGGAGGGATGTAGTTTAATTAAGAGAAATACTAGTTTGTGTATTAATGTAATTGAATGGTTATTATATTATTGGTCATAAGACAATGTTCACTCTTGTGATTTCTGATATAGAAATCTGTTAGATACAGTTCTATGTAGATTATGACCAGTTGACATTGTTGCTTTTAAGCATTGTATTATTCAAAATTTTCGTATGCTACATTTTATTTTTTTGTGCTGGTCCTGGAACTTGAACTCAGGGCCTGACCACTGTCCCTGAGGTTTTTGAGCCACAGCTCCACTTCCAGCTTTTGGGTGGTTAATTGGAGATAAGAGTTTCATGGACTATACTGCTCAGCCTGGCTTCAAACCACAATCCTTAGCTCTCAGCCTCCTGCATAGCCAAGATTTCAGGCATGAGCCACCAGCATCTGGAAGGCACTACATTTTAAAGCAAAGTTTGTGCATATGTGTGTGTGTCTTTGTCTAATTTTCCTTTCATATTTGTCTTTTCTATTGCCATAATGAAATACTTGAAGCTGTCAGTATATTAGCACTAAGTTGGAGGTTGAAAGTCACAATCAGGTGGCTCCATTGGTTAAGCCTCTGGCCCCAGGCTCATTGCAAATATCATCAAAATGACAAGAGTGTATGTGTGGAAGTGATGATATGGCAAGATGGAAAGCCAGAGAAAGATTTGGGGTTAGGCTTATTTTTCTATACCAATCCCTCCAGGAGAATAGCATGAATCGCTTTGAAAGCTGCTTCTATGGCTTTTCATAGGTGGCTGTACCCATAAATAATTGTTTTGTTTTACCATTTTCTGACAACTATATAATGGAAATGGCACATTCTTCTTACTTGCTTTCCTCATTCACTATTATGCTTTGAATAGTCATGCTGATGGGCAGGTACACTTCTTTTCATTGTCTATACTATTCTGTGAGTGAATAGCTCAACCTACTATCCACTATACTCCTTTATTCATTACTCTCTGCTATTACTAACAGTGCTGCTATTGAGTATTCTTTTGTGTATCTCTAGAAAATATACTTATATATGTGGAATTTCTGGTCACACATAGTACACATCTTTAATTTTAATAAATTTCCAAAGTAATTTTACCTATTTACATTCCCACCAAGTAACTACAAGTTTCTTCTGCTCCACTTCTTGCTAGTCCTTACTAACACTTAGATTTAATAATCACATTTCTATTGTTTTGCCATTCCTAGTAACAGAAATTGTTTCTCATTGAGGTTTTAATTTGCATTAATGAGGTTGGACGTCTTAGGTTTCTCATATTTGTTTCTTCTTCTTTATAATGTTCATTCCTGTCTTGTACTTGTTTTTCTATTAGGTTCTTAGCCCATTTCTTACTGATTTATGGTTCTCTACATAGTCCAAATAAGCTTTTGTCATTGTCACAAAACACACATATGCATGTATGCATGCATGTACGCACGCACTCGCGCGCACACACACACATGCGGCACTGAAAACCACTGCTTTGGAAAAACCACTATATGACACAACAATCCATATGCATGCTGTAGAGAAACCCCTATGCAACAAATAAGCTTGTCTCTTCCTATCTTTATAGTTAATACATTTGACTACATTAAAGATGTATGACCCTTTTCCCTTCATGCAACATTTTTATATCTTGTTTTAAGATCTACCCTACTCCCAATGTCATACGTATTTTTTCCTGTTGTACTCAGCTTTTTCACAATCCCATTTACAGTAGTCACAGCAAAACAAAACAGTCATTAGTAAATCTAGTAATGTGAGAATCATAATTACAATAATTGCAAAAGACTAAAGAAATTGAAGACACTAAAAAGTAGAAAATTTTCCTCATTGTAATGAATTTCAGTAATTAATGTTAAAATGTCTAGAGTACCCAAAGCACTCTACAGATTCCATGAACTCTCCATCAAAATATCAATGACATTCTTCAAAGAACCAGAAAAAAATCCTTAAATTTATATAGAAGCACTAACAACTCCAAAGAGCCAAAGCAACCCTAGCAAAACACTGCAAGCATCACAATACTTGATTTGAAAAACACCAAAATATAGAAACAAAAGCAGCACAGTGTTGGCATGAAAAGAGACATGTAGACCAATGGAATGGTAAACTATACATCTTCAGCCACTTGATTCTCATCAAAGGTGCCCAGACCATATATTGGAGAAAGGAAAGCCTCTTCAACAAATGATGCTGGGAAATCGTTTTTTTGTTTTTTTTTGGTCGGTTGTGGGGCTTGAACTCTGGGCCTGAGCGATGTTCCTGCGCTCTTCAGCTCAAGGCGAGCGGTCTACCGCTTGAGCCACAGCACCACTTCCGGTTTTCTAGTTGTATTTATTGGAGATAAGAGTCTCACAGACTTTCCTACCTGGGCTAGCTTTGAACCATGATCCTCAGATCTCAGCCTCCTAAATAGCTAGGATTACAGGCATGAGCCACCAGCACCCGGTGGGAAATCTTGATATACACATAGGAAGACTGAAACTTGAATCCTCTTACCTTGTATAAAACAACAACTCAAAATCAACTAAAGACCTAGAAAACACTTCAGATATTGGTACCAACAATGATTTTCTGAATAGGTCTTTGAAAGTATAGGAAACAATTCCAAGAATTGACAAATAGAATTACATAAAATCAAAAAGTGTACAGAAAAGAAAATAGCTGGGGCTGGGAATGTGACTCCATTGGTAGAGTGCTTGCCTTGCATGCATGAGAACTGGGTTCGATTCCTCAGCACCATATAACCAGAAAAAGCCAGAAGTGGCGCTGTGGCTCAAGTGGTAGAGTGCTAGCCTTGAGCTGAAGAGCTGAGGGACAGCACCCAGACCCAGAGTTCAGGCCCCATGACTGACAAAAAAAAAAAAGACAAGAAAACAGCCAACAGACTAGTGTATAAAGTTGGAGAGTCCTTTGCCATCTTTTCATCTGACAGGATTAATATTCAAATGGGGAAATGACCTGAGTGACATTTCTCAAAAGAAGACATAGAAATAGATAATAAATACATTTAAAATGTTCGGTATCATTAGCCATTAAAGAAATGGCAATCAAACCTACAATCAAACCACCCTGCCTAGAATGATTATTATAAAAATAACAAAAAAAATGCTGGCAAAGGAAAAATGGAGCCTTGTACACAGTTGGAACCAGTGTAAGTTAGTTCAGCCACTATGAGAATAATATGGGGGTGTCTTAAAAAAATAAACATAGAACTACCATATGATTGAGCAGTCTCACACACTCGTGGGTGTAAATCTGAAGAAATTAAAGCCTCCTACAAAAGAGATACATCCTAAGTAATGGTATCAGCCTAACTGCTCGCCAACAGATTATTGTATAAAATATGGTGTGTATAAAATAGTGGGTTATTAGTTAGCCAGAGTAAACCAAGTAAAGAAATACATGAATGTATTTCTTAAAACACTTTGTTTTCATTCAGATGCATAAACTAAACAAAAATTAAATAAATGAAAAGATTACCTGAAAATAGACCAATTGCTAGAAATTAGGAGGGGAGAGGGTAGAAGAAAGGTA